CCAAATAACGTATCACTCCATTCAGATTATTCTCGAACAGTTGACGTAAACACTTCTCTAATATCTACAAGTCATTCAGTTACTCATTCCTCAAAACATTAATATGATTATAAAACAAAATTGAAAAAAGCACACACTCGAAAAGTTGACAGTATGTGATTCATAGACGTTTTGGGATTAGAATCACTATCAAGATGCAATTAAACACAATCCAATTCAACGCATACATTAAATAGCAACAAGTAAATGGACATAAATTTGTCGGCTTTAATGACTAGTTTAAAAATCTGCGATAACGAAACGACTGTAATTCTATGAATCAACGAGTTCGGATATCTTGAATAAATATCTGTTTCATGAATAATCATACAATTAAACTTATGCATTGATTACTTAAAATAATAATGCTACCAATGTAATAAACGAACCCTGGCAACCAGAGGACACGAATCACGTCTCACCGTTTCGATGCCCTTCGCATCAAACACGCCCTCGTTAATACAATTCTCATTCTCGTAACTCATCCCCACATAACGCTTCTTCGTCTCCACTATCAACGGCTGCATTATTTTCTCCAATTTCAGTTTTATCGGCTTCGGATTATTTCTCGTCACATCATCAGCTATTTCAGCACCGATTCTGAACGCCTCTTTGCGTGACATACCTTCAAATTCCTTACTCATTACGTTCACATTCCAAACGTATTCATGAATGCTACTGAATGATAATATATGATCGACGAGCTCATTCATACTTAACAGAATATGGCTGATGTGGAAAATCATCGCGAGAAAACGACATTCATCATCGGAAATTGCTCGATTCCTATGCAGTTTCACTTCGAAATGGAATAGAAGTAGGTGGAAACACTTCACGACCATCACTGAATACTGCGATATTTATATATCGCATTAATTTCAAACGATATGAATGAATAATAAAGAAAAACCTGGGCATAACACGAACATGCTATCGGTATCACCATAGATCACCCTCACTTTACCGTATTTGCCATCGTTTACATCTGCTATCGCCTTCTCCAACGCCTCTCGACCCTAACAAACCATAAAACTATGCAAAATAACCACCCAATATCAACTCTTATTAATGTTCCATGATATAACTGATGTCGTAACGATAGAACAACCAAGTAATAATCACTACCTTACTAACGATCGCATCAGCTAACTCTACACAAGGCATTCGTCCACTGAAATTNGGATAACCTCTTAAGTTATCATTATTATCACTTATTTTATTGTTATCGCTATTAATATTATTAATATATTAAATTAACAAATAATAATTAAAACTGCACAACATTGAAAGATTTTGGACGCTGGAAATGACCTTCAAAACTAAATGAGAAAAGTGACCTTATTGTCTTTATAACCCTTCATCGCTTTCTTGACCATAATTCTCGTATTCAATATTTCCTCTAACATAATCGGCACTATTCCTGAAAGGTTTCAAATTCAATTCATTTCTTCAGTTTTAACAATGAATGAGAAAAACATTTGTAAAGAGCAAAAAAGAAAATAACAACGTACTGAAAAAGAGCAAAAAAAATTAAAAAATCAAACGAACCTCTACGAACTGATTTCTTACAAAAAATACTTCCTGACGGCGATATGTGCACGTTATTCTCATCAACCATTTCGACCAAATCACTGATCTTAAACATAATTTCCAATTAACAAATCCCTTCCTACCTCTACTTTCAAAAAACAACAACAAATTTCAATATACACATACTAAATCACTAAAAATGACCAGAATCAAATGCGATTCACCTCAGATTTCGACATATTTCAAAACTAAAATCGCCTCTTCATTATACAACTTTGATCATTTTCAAGAACAAATAACTCTGAACAATGAAATGAATTTTCATCAAAACACGTCCAACAGCAAATAGATATCCGAATCCAAAAGACATCGGTAATAAAAAAAATTAAACATTCAAAAACGAAACATTCAACAACCAAACTCACGTTAAAATGATACACCAAACCGCCCAACTCGATCGACTCAAAATTATTCATATTA